TGCATGTACGTTTACCTGGTGTAATGCCAACAGGAGTACACGGCTGCACATCAAAACCACCCCAAAACCTGCTGCACGCAGCACTTAGCATCTCACAAAGCGGACTGCCGTTACAGAAGTCCACCCAGTGCTGTCAGAGGGGCGCAGTGCAGCCACAGCATGTTCTTGTGTGTACAGAGTCGCTTTTAATTCAATTACATTCTTCCATTACTGAGGAAATAAATGTGGGAGGAAACAAAGGACAGACACAGAGAAGCGAAACAGGGGTAGGAAGTAGGAGATATATGCTTACTGCGTCTCATTTGGCTCCATAGGGCTTTCGAAGGGCTGTCATACATCATGACATTTATTATTTCTGTCATGTACTAGGATGAGAAGTCCATTACAATATCGATCATTTTACTCTGCTCAACTCTACGCTGTGTAATACTCAGCATAGCTGAAAAAGCTTACAAGTGATTTAGAAATAGCTGTATGGGGAGAATTGAGGAAGAAATCAGAGTCAACATGGTTTCCCTTAATGGAATTCTCTTTTTAGTAAGCTTTTAGAAAACTTAGGAAATTGCATTTTAAACACCGTTAAAGCCACAGCACGGTTGCAGTCAAGCAACAGACACAATAATGCAATCTTAATTTACCTGGTGACATAATGACATAATCTTCAGCTGTGTTGCCCCATAGCTGTCACATAACAGCTTCACCGGCCTCCTCCTCCTTTCACCCGTCAATAATTTCTGCCCCAATGAACTCAGGGCCAAAATCTTAACACGTCAAAACACTTACCCTTCCTTGATATCAAAAAGACCACTTGCAAACCTGAAAACCCAAGTATTTCAATGTAACCTGGAATAACCGCGGATTGCAGGCATCAGATGGGGCAGCACAAGGGAGGCGCTAGCTAATATCATTAATATGCCATTAGCGATAGCAGCAGGAGCAGCACGCCGTTCCAGCGCTGCGGCGGCAGCGAGGACAGAGCTGTCCTGCAGGGTGCCAGCCTGCGCCCTAAACACCGAGGTGCAGCAGAGGTGAGAGCTGCCCTGCCTTGCCCTGCCCTGCGGGGTTGCTTTGAGAAGCCTTGTCCTTGGGGTTATAATTTCCCTCCACTTCCCGGTGGGTTTGCAGCCAGCTCAGGACAGGAGATGTGATGGAAGACCATCCTTACCTGGTTGTCATCTTTCTTACCTGCAGTCTGCTTTTTACTGCCGATCCTGCCATGGGTGGACACCAGAAGTTTTCTTCATCATCTTTCTTTAAGGTACTGTCTGTTCCACCCCAGCTTCGCCTGTAACACATTATTTATGCAGAGCAGCATGAAGGTCTGCATCAGAAGATCTTTCAGCACTGGAGAAAGCTGCATACTGGAAGGGGAGCCAAGGGAGGCTGACAACCTGGCCTATGTGCTTAAGACAGCACGTGCTGGTGCTGCTCCATTTCTTCTATATTCTTGCATATAGCTTTCAAGGGATCCTTCTTATGTCAGGGCCCGATTTCAGACATTCATGCCTAAAAGGGAGGAATGACAGACAACCCAGGATGTCCACAAGGAAGGCACTCAGGTATCACAGTGATGACAAGAACCAAAGTCACACAGATAGATGACACCAGCTGTTAGCATCACAAAGGTAAAACTTGAGATAGCCTGACATTTATCTTTTTTTTTTTTCTTCTTTTTTTTTTCTTGAATACTCTA